GTTTCCTGGCTAGTTAGCGAAGTGACAAAAATAAGGTTATGGGGAAAGATGTTAGGAATTTAGTTTTAGACATGTATAATTTTTTGCACCTGAGAAATGTCTAGGCAGTACTGTGTGTCCAGAATTCAGAACTCAGAACTAGATTTTAGCCAGGCAAAGTGGTACATGGCTTGTAATCCCAGGTAGTTGGGAGGCTGAGGCAGGAGGATTTTCAGCTCAAGGCCAGCCTGGACAATTTAGCGAGAACCTCTCTCAAAATAAAAAACGAGAAAAGGACTGGGGATAAAACTTGGTGATACAACACTGCTGGGTTCAATCACTAGTATCGCAAAACAAAAAATCCACCAGATTTTGGAGTCATCTCCAAATACTCCATACTCCATACTCTCCATATTCCTTGACTTATGATGCGGTTATGTCCTGATAAAATTATGGGTTAAAAATACTGTATATTGAAAATGCTTTTGATACACCTAACCTGTGGAAACTTAGTAGCTTAACAATCAGTACACTAAAGGGAATTGATTCTTTCCCTTTGTGATCTTGTGGTTGATTGGGATTTCGGGCTGGCTGAGAGAAGCATATCACATATTGCTAGTCTGGGAAAAGATCAACATTCAGCATTTGAAGCTAGGTTTTCCTGAATAYTTATCATTTTCTTGCCATCATATGGTTGAAAAATCGTAAGTAGAATGATTTTAAGTTGGGGACAGTTGGTAGTCACATTTGAAGCTTTGGGCGTGTATGAGAGTGCCCAAAGAGAAAGCATGTGGAATGAGAAAATAAGAGGGTTGGGGATAGAATGCTTGGAAACACCATAATTTAGGGGGCTGGCAGCAAAAGAGGAGCCAGCCAAGAAACAGGACAGAAGGATGTCACATAAGCATTGCGGGGAATGGGAAGCACAATCAGCATTATTAAATGATGCTGAGAGACTGAGCAGATGAGAATAGGAAATGGCCCTTTAGAAAAATTACTAGTAGGAAATGTGTACAAATATCAATAGATTTATTCCCAATTGGCGAGATCTTAGATGGCTTATTTTCTTCTTACAACTTCTCTACAATTTTCTGAATTCTGTACAATAAATACCAGTTCCATTTCCATTAAAAAGTTATTAAAATATAAAACAAATTCTCAGATAAAGCCTAAAATATTTAATGAAAACTTGAAGAAAAGAGCAAATAATTATGTACTCTCTAGAAGTTGAGTACCTATGTGCCAGGTCCCAAGCTAAAGACAAAACAAAGAATGGAGAATGGCTCTGCTCTTTCACAAACAGGAAAGCAGCTGGTTTGGCAAGTGAGGGGTTTGCGCAGGGTGCAATGGCAGGGGATGAGACTGTAGAAGTCGTCTGCCACCAGATTACAATGGACTTTATGTGTCTTGTCAAATAATACAGCTTTATTCTGAGAGCTGCTGAGAGGTTTTTTAAGGGGCAAAGAGAGAGCTGGAATTGGGCTTTACCTAAGTTTATCTTCCTTTCTTTCTCCTTCTCTTCCTTCCTTCCTCCTCATTTTTTTTTTTTCAACAGTCAAAGAGGTAGGCTTTATTCAAGTGTGAAGAACAGAAACAGAACTCTTGCAGGGGCAAGAGGGTACCCCGATAAGGGKTGCCTACTGAAGTTGACTTTCTACTTAACTTGGGAAACAGAATGGCTGCAGGCCAGGAGGAGTCCAAGGAGAAAGACAGGAGGCATGGTTCCCAGGAACTGCAACAACTCATGGCAGTTCCTCAGGGGCAGGCTGGGCGCAGAAAAGTGGGCATAGCATCAACAGGTCAATAGGATATGACTGATTGGGTGTATATTACGAATACAGCTGATTGGATGTATATTATGGGAAGGAAAACATCAAGAACATCTGGTGTGTGTTGGGGGAGTCTGTGAGCAACTTCTTTATGCTTATCAAAGACCATAAGTAGGGGAGTGCCCTTTATTGAAACAAGGAAAAGATTGTGTTTACAACAGGCACATCTTCCCTTCTTCTCCGCTGCCCTTTTCCTCTGGGGAAAATAGGCAATAATTTTGGTACAGAAGAAAAGAAAGAAAAAGAATGACTAATGACTACTAGTGTTAAGTGTCCTACAGATTACACATAGTTATGGTGATTGATGCATGAACTATGAGAGCAAGTGTTATTATAGAAGGAATAAAGAATAAGTGCCTATGTGAGATCTATTTTTGAGACCATGGCCATAAGATAGACTTTGAAACCTTCAGCTATTTCCTTGCCACACATGCATATTTGGAAACTTTCCTTTTTCCAGTTAGTAGAATTCAGTATTTCTGTGACAAAGAGTGGTGGTGGAGTTATTTTTTTTAGGAAATGTTTACATAGATGGCTGTGACCTCCCAGGAAAGGGCTTTTATAACTAAATGTAAATCCTTTAAAGTCACCAAAAAGGGTTCGGTCCCAAGTGAACTGTACTAGTTTCAGCTAACAGGTGACAGCTGCTGCACCTGTCACAGGCAAGTATCTGTATTCTTGCTTTCTCTCTTTTATCTCCAATTGTACAGTATGGAAAGCAGGCCGAAGATGCCCAACTAGTTACGTTTGGGAAGCCAAATCCGAACTTGGATGGAAGTGCTACAGTAGAAAACTTCCCTCCAGACCAAAACCAATAGATCAAGGCATTGATCAAGTAAAAGTAACTCACCCCCCCCCCCCCCCCCCCCCCCCCCCCCCCCCCCCCCCCCCCCCCCCCCCCCCCCGGCCGGACTCATCCAGCACTAATAGAACTTCTGTGGCATAGGGGACCACTCGCCTGCACAGATGTCACTTACTAGTGCAAGGCCTTCAGGATCGTCCTACCTCCCAAACAGAGGTGGTGGCAGAGAGGGCTGGTCCTTAAACCACTTACTCTCTCAATCACTGAAAAAGTTTCCTAAAAGGTAAAGAAAGACACAAGAAACACTCTTTTCAGGGAGGTTCTTCCTTTCATTCCTTTGGGGAGAACAGTGTTTCAAGAAGAGTTTTCATTCACTCCAGAACAGCGGTTCTAAGCAGCAGTTAAGTACTAACAGGATGGTTAGAGACCCTTGGCTTCCCCAGGTGCCCTCCTCCCCTACCTTCAGGTGACTCTTTAGATGGAGAGCCTGGCACCTCCCTTCCTTCTCTAGTGCCACTGGCTTCTGGCCCGAGCCCAAGCCTGCGCCCGCCACCCGGAGCCCTCACTCGCGGGGTAGTGCGCCCCAGTGCGCGAGCCACAGACTCCCGCGCCGCCGCTTGTTGCTCGGGCTGCCGCGCCGTGGGGAAGTGAAAATGAAATTGACTTTTCTGAGAAATGATGAAAGCGGCTCTGCCTGCCAATGAACAGCGGCGGCGAACTTCCGCACCTCGCGGCCAGGCCGCTCGCGCCCTCCCTCTGCCTCCACCTCCCGGTTGCACAAGCTTGAAACAAACACTGGGGAGGAAGGGCGGAGGGAGGAGGGCGGAGGGGGAGGCGAGGCGAGGGAGGGAGCGAGGCAGGGAGGAGGGCGGGGGGTGGGGGGATTTCCAGCCTCAGCTCTTCGCAGTTTCCTCTCCTTGTTTTGCTTTCGATCTGGACTGTTCTCAGGCAAGCCGGGGAGTAACTTTTAGTTTTGCTCCTGCGATTATTCAACTGACGGGCTTTCATTTCCATTTCACACACCCTAGCAACACTTATACCTTGCGGAATTGTATTGGTAGCGTGAAAAAGCACACTGAGAGGTAACATTTTTCAAATAATAGTTGTGACTGTGCGTGTGTTTCTCTMGAGGGCATGTTTATGGGGACTGGAAAGAGCTGTGTGTGTATGCGTGACCTGATGCTTTGACACGATGTTTTGCAGACGGAAAATGCCGAGGTTCATAAATATTAATACCGATTTTTGGAGGAACAGTCGGCGCAATTATGGATCATCTGATTTTAGGGGAAGCAGGTTCTGCTGCTGTTGCTGCTGCTACTGGGGCTGCTGAGGCTGCAAGGAGAAGGAGGAGGAGGAGGAGGTAGAGAGGGAGGAGGAGGAGGAGGAGGAGGTTGGTGGAGGTTTAATTTCACTTTTGGATTTGCAGATGCGGAGAGGTGGCTCCATGGACACAGACCTGCTCTGTGTGATTCTGCGCCCCAGGTGTCATGTGTGTGGGTACATGTCCGCAGGAGTCGGGCCTCATTTAAAACAAAATTGTGTGTGTTTGTGTGTGTTTACAGCCACCGCCGCCACCAGATCCCAAGAAGGAGAGCGGGTCCCTCCCGGTGCCCAGCCGMGGCGCCTCTCTCCAGGCAGTCCCCAGCGTCAATAAGCAGGCACCCGCCGCCGCCTGCTGCCCGCGCCGGGGCCGGGAGGGGCGCCTCCCGCCGCGGCCAAAGGAAACTTAATGGGTCGCCTCGAGGCGGTCCCAGGGCTCCCACGCTCGTGGGGCTCAGGGTAGGGTCGCTGGCGTCCGGTGGCAGCTGCTGGAGCCGGCGGGCGGGCTCCGCGCGGGGCTGGGCGCCGGGCCTGGCCGACGCGCCCGGCTTCCTGGGGGCTGGGCCGCCGCCACTCGGGAGGGACGTCGCGTTCTCCTTCCCGCCGGCCGGCGTCCGGCCTGGCTCTAGGGCTTTGTCATTGCACTTGTCCCGGGGCGCGAGGGGTTCGGGCGGCGCGTCCCGGGAGCGCGCTGCGCCGAGGGGTCATCTGCCCCGGCCGCGGCCTAGCGCCCGGCGCCTGCGGGTCCCCGCAGGCGCCCCCGGGCCGGCCTCGCGCGCTGGGCCTGACCCGCCTCGGCTACGGAGCGGGTGAGGTGGGGGCGGGGAGCCTCCGGGGACCAAGTGGCGCCCTGCGGGCAGGCACGGGGCCAGCGTCCCCTCGGGGTCCTGGGGCGCGGGCGGCTGCGGCGGGGTGGGGACGTGAGTGCCCGCCCCGTGCCCTCCGACCCCCTCTGGGCGCCGGGTGACATTCGCCCGCCGGCCGAACATGGTTGGTCCAAAGCCGCGGCCGCCACTTCCTTTCCGCCTCGCCGGCCGGGCTCGCCCACCGAGCGATGCCGGCCGCGGCCAATCGCGGCGCCTGCCCGCTCCCAGCTGCACGGCCTGGGGGCCGGCACCCGAGAGCCGCTCCGAGAGCCTTTCCAAGTGCGAAGGGTTTGGGTGTAACTCATCCCCTCCCCGGGACGCGGCCGCGTCTCCCGTTGGCCCCAGGTCTTGGTGCGTTTGCCACCCTCACCCTCTCGCCCCTTAGAAGGAGGAAAGGGAAGGAAGGAGGGCTGGCAGCCCGAGCCGGGAGCGAGGACTGTGTGCCGGCACCAGGTGAGACGCCCGGGTCAGCCGGTGGAGGCTGGACCCTTGGTGATCGGCTGTAAATGTGACTCCTGGGACTGGCAGTCGAGGTTGCTATATATTAGCGGGGTGGATTTCACTCCTTTCAAACCCGGTAGTGTTTGAAACTTGGGGACATAGTACCCGCTCCCTCCGCCTTCACCGTCGTTCCAGTGTGGGCACTGGGTAGTGCTCCTTGTCTTTGGTTATGGACTAAGAAAATGCAGCCTCTGTCTAGATGAGGAAAAGTGCTGCTGGCCCTTGGCTTCTGCCAGTGGCCTCCCTGTGGCTGTGACTTGGTCTGCTTTTGATGAATGGCTCGCGAGGGTGGAGGATAGTTACATTTCCTGTTGTGAATTTTCAGGAATCACCAAGGTTGCTGTCAAGCCTGCAGTCATTTATTAGTTTCCAAATCGACTGCAAGTAACATTTGAACGAAGCTGCGGGCGCTTTCTGGTGGTTCAGGACAGGTGCAGACAGGGGTCTGGTAACAGATTGCCTGTGAAAGGTGGATGGTCTTCGTGTTACACAGACGCACATTCCCCTGCCTGGGATTCAAGGGTGACCCTGTTTATTTTTTGGGGAAGGGGGTGTGGGTGTGGGGAGAAAGGGAAAAAAATAAAAACCTAAAATATCCTGGAAAAACTTGTTTTTTTCTAAGACAACTTTTGCAGATGGAATATTTAGGACTTAAACAGGCATCTCTAGGTGTAACCTTGGAACATCTATTGATTGATGTAGCAAAGTCCAGAATTTCACTGTAATCAGTGAATGATTATAATTTATAACTTTGCCTGTTGTGTAAGAAGTTAGATTTTGGCTTCTTACATCCAAGAGTTCCTATCTGTTATGATTTGTAACTGCTTCTTAAAATTAAACATCTACATATTTCATTCTCAATGAGTTTTTTTTGTTAACCTTCAAAAGTTAGAAATTCACATATTTCAGACTTACTTACCTGTAAAAATGTCATCATAATAAAAGTAAGGTTTTGTAGTCAAATCTGAAGCAAACTATGGTCAACTAAGAGTTGTTGTAAAGTCCTGACAGTTCTATGAACTATAGCCCTATTTTTCTCTTGCCTGCCTTCTGAAATACTCTATTAGGCAAATATTTAATATCCCAGAGCTAGTTAAAGTGATTTGAACTTAGTAGTGGAAAATTTGAAACTTTGGATGTTCGACATTTGATATGTATTGATTTTCTTGTGCTATGAAGGACATTGCATTTTTATTCTCAGCATTATCTAGTATAAGTTGTGATGTTTTTAGAGCATTTTCACATAATTGCCTTTTGATAGTGAACAGACCACTAAACTATAAATGTGATATCTGGGTCATGTTCCCTTATCTGCCTTCTACCAAAAAGAGCTTAAAGTAGTCAAGGGATTATTTATACATTTAATAAATATTCATAGAATATTCACTGTGTGCCAGACACAGTACTAGGCTATGCGGATTCAACGGAAAACAAGAAAGCCAGCCACTACGCTCTATAGAGATTTCATTCTAGTTGATGAGCTATCAATCATCAACAGCAACAAAAATAAATACAGTAATTACCTTTTGGAGTTAGTTTTATGAAAGGTAATAATAATACTTAACTATGTATTTATAGGGTGGATTTTATAAGCAGTTGAGCTACTGTGTATAAAACAACAGTGCCTAAAGTTATAGCAATCTACAAGTGTGAAGGCATTAACTTTGAGAATTCTGTCCGATTATTATTAAGGAAAAAAAAAAAAAGCCAGGAAATTGTGACTAGATCAGATGTTAACTTTCTCATATAGCATTTCCTACAAAAAGGCATTTTACTTCTTCTGAGAGTATGTAAGTAATGGTAAAGAATTAAACACAAGATAAATATTATATGTAAAGTACCAGGAAATTATTATAGTGACAAAATATCAGTGAATTTTTTTCCTGGTAGAAGAAAAGTTAGGCTTTATCCCTGGAGACCAAGTGATACATAAATAACAGTGGTTGGATCCATACATTTTCCCTCTTTATATCAGGTAAAACATCTTCTCAAGCATCATTGTGCTTTAGTTTGAATTTTCTTGACCATGTTTCTGACTCTTGAATTCATTGTCTGTTAACTACAGTTTCTCACTTAGCTGATTTCAGTAGTTTGCTATACCATACTTAAGGTGACTTGATTAACTTGCATTTATTGACTTTTTACTTCTGTGCCCAGTACCATAATATGTGAAAATAACGTGATAACATGTGAAAATAAATATAATAGTGCATTCTTAAAACATGTAATATAAAAACACAAAATAATTATAAAAGTAAAGAGCTGTGAAATATCAATTATTATTAATAATAAAATCCAACTCTTTTCATGTATATTGGACACCCTGTTCCTTCCCACACGGGAGTAGGAGGTCAGGACTTTCCATCTCTCTCTGCCCCATCTCCGCCCTTCTTTTGGCCTGGGTGGATCAATCTTTGGTATAGAATGTCAGCTTAATGCACAGTGACAGTGTTGAGGATTGGCTCTCACATTGGGAGTGGCTGGTGGAAAAGAGGTAAGGAAGTTTGGTTAAACTTTGATTTTTTTTCACAAAGGATGGTGAATTATTGACAGGGTTCAGAGTTAATCTGAAGCCAATATTTTTTATAAAATGCTAAGGGAAATACATAACCCTGACATCCATCCCTTGGACTGCTAATGCTGGGTGGTAGCCTTGTCCAGAGGATTCCTGGCCCTCTCTGGATTCAGGGCAAGCAGCTTTTTACCTTCTCAGGTCCCTTTACATTGATTAACCCCTTATGAATTCCGTCTTTTGACAGACCATCCCTGAAAGAAGTTGTGTTTATGTAGGAAGCCTTCATGTGCCCATTTTTGTGACTCAAGAGACACAAATGACTTCTGGTCAGGACTCCTGTTTTGACTTGAGAAAACTAGTATCACAAGTCTCCTTTATCCCATTCCAGCCAAATGAAAAGAGTTGGCATGTCAGAGAGTCTGGGCAGATCTGTATTGGGTAAATTCTATCCTGTTAGCCTTCCTGAGGTCCTGAAACCAGTGGAGGACCTACCTTCAGAATTTTTGAGTTCTGCTGTGGATCCAGGGACACCAAGGATTATTTTAAATGAATAATTAACTTGCTAAATGTAGTAATTCGAGCAATCATTTTGTTAAATGAACACATCCATCATGCTGTTATTTCATTTATTTATTAAATATTTGTTGACAAACAGCTGAGTACAAGGCTCTGTACTGGAAGATGCATGAACTTAGAAGCCTGGAGTTGACTTTTTAGCTCTTTTATTAACTACCTAGCCACTTCCTCCTTTGGGACCTTCATTTTTACATTTGCAAAATGTGGCCAGAGTCCTGTCATCCTTACAGGATAGTGTCTAATCAAAGTGATTTAGGGGAGGGAGCTTTTAGAAACCACACAGAACCATAGGGATGTGAGACTGAGTAGAGCCCCGTCCACTCCTTAGGGGCCTTACTTGCTCCCACTATGGACCTTTTCTTCCCCAGTTTATGCCAGATCCCTAAGCACAGTCTCCCTCAGGTTTGTGAGCCAGAGCAAGGCTGGAGAACCATGGGATCTCTTCCCAGGGCCAAATCTTTGATCTCTGCATTGATTCAGAGGCCATGCCATGCAGAAAGCATGTTTTCATATTTGAGTTAATGCTTTGAACAGGGGACCTGTGGTCACTTTGTATAGGCTCTGCCTATGTTGACCTTGCTTGTCCTACAAAAAAAAAACCAGTATTTGTGTTATGGTTGTGATACTTCATATTTTCCATTTTGAAAAGGCAAAGACTTTGTTTTACGGGTTTGTCTCTTTGTCCAGAAGGCCATAGAGAATTATGTTTGTTTTCTGGTTTGTTTTGATTCTGTTCTGGCTTATAGCCCCTTTTAACAGCTTAGTATTCAGCTCCATTAGCAAGAAAGAACTAGAGTTGAGCAAAGAATGTCTTCATAGGAGAAACAGGACTTCTGATGATATGTTCTAAACATTTTTATCTCAAGGACAAGAGCAAATTAGTTCAATGAAAATCTTAATTTAGGATTTTGTGTGATAAAAGCCAGTCCAGTAGTTTTCATTAAACAAACATTTTTGAGAGTTAACTACTTGCTATGTAATTTTCATAAATAATTTCTTTCAAGCATACTTAGCAATCTGTTGCTCTGTGTAACAGCATTTGATACTTGCACACTTAATGTGATCAAAGGAAAATGAGCTTATATTTTAATTTGTCCTTATTGAGCTTATGATTATCAGGTTTTTTTGGAGGATCCAAAGAAGTGCTTTGTAGATAGAAAATGCTGTCCTGGCCCCATCAGCTCAGAAGCCTACTGACTTTTCCATTTCATGAGGTTGACATTTTGAGTGAGACAAAACTGCATACAAATTGCTTTATTTCAAGCGATATCTAACATATTATTTTTGAAAAGAGTATTTTTCTTCTCTTTACCCTAGATTTATTGAAGAAGATGAGAAAAATTACAGCAGGGAAAAGTGAGTGTCTTAACACCCGGAAATGGTGTTAGTGGGGTGATGGAATAGGATGGGGAGGGTATGAGAGTTGGGGGATGGGCAATGAAAAAGAAAAGCAGGTGGAGAGCAGATTAAGTAGTAGCTCTGGCTCCTTGAGTGGAAGAGAAGAGGCCACCAGGCAGGTAGATCAGGTAGACTGGCTGTCTCTTCAGGAATGTCATTGAAAGTTTTGGAGGTGAGGAAAGCCAAATTAGTAGTTAATTAATAATAATTCAGGGACTGGTGGAAATACTGGTGGACCCTCTGCTTTTGATTTTGGGGTTGGATCTTTTTTATCCCAAGGATGGGAAAAAGATGGGAAAACTGGGAGCTGACTTTATACAAGTAAACACACAGTTGTGAGTGGTTGTCACTGGGGCATGATTTAAGTCACCTTAGAGGTACTAGGGGGTGAAGTATTGTTTGGAGATGGAAGAATTGCTACCCATGATGTGAGGCTCCAAACTCCATCTAAAATTGCCCTTGA